TCAGGACAGCTGAAATACATGGTGAACCATTTATAATACAAATTACCCGGCTGGTGGTGTGTGCCTGTAATTCCCAGCTACTTGGGGCTGAGGCAGGGGAATCACTGAACCAGGGAGGCAGGAGGTGCAGAGCCCAGATCGTGCCATTGCCTCCATATGGGCGGACAGACTGAGATCGTCTCATCTCTCAAAAACCTACTGGCTCAATTAGGGTAGAATAAAAGTATATTATCTGAGACAATTGTGTATTGGTAGAGTTCAAATAAAGAACTTTCAACATCGAATTGTTTAAGGGCAAAGAGCATCTTTAGTGTTGAGTTTTTTTATAACTAACATGATGGCTAGACTCTGGAGTAGCTGGGACTACAGGTGCCTACCACCACACCCAGCTAATTTTTGTATTTTTAGTAGAGATGGGGTTTTGCCATGTTGGCAGGGCTGATCTCAAACTCCTGACCTCAAGTGATCCCCCTGCCTTGGCCTCCCAAAGGGCTGGGATTACAGGTGTGAGCCACTGTGCCCGGCCTCAAGATCATTCTCGAAACTCACTTTAGCAAGTTGGCTATTTCAGTTAGGATTAGGTTCAATTGTGTGTAACAGATCATCAAAAAAACAAGCAAAAAAACCGAAACTCAGGAACTTAAAGGTAGAGTTTTTGGGTGTTTGTTTTTTTGCCTTACATAAAAGAAGTCTGAAGCTAGGTAACTGAGAGCTGGTGTGGCAGTTCTGTGATCACCAGAGACCTAGGCTCCCTCTTTCTTTTGGTGTCATCATCTTTAGTGCTGGCTTCCACCCTCAGGTTTGCGTTAGGGCTGCTGAGTGATGACTGCTGTTCTAGCTGTCACATCTGTGCTCCAAGCAGGAAAAAGGACAAGGCCAAAGGGCATATTTCCTGGTAGAATCCACCCCCTGTACACTAAAGGGCTTTCCTGGAAACCCCACCCACTTATTGGACACCCCTATCTGTAAAGGACATTGCCTTCCCCTATAACATGGAGACTAGATATTGGATAGGCAAACCTTGGTCTCTGCCTTACCAAGTGATCATATTCCTAAAGGTATTACTTAGACTTAGGTGGCTAAGACTTTGGGATACCTACAGACTCAGAATAGGACAGTAATAGTGTTTGGTGAACCTGGCTTTTAGTTTCCTATTTAATTGATTGATTCAACAGTATTTAGGACTTACCACATGCTAGGCACTGGAGCTACAATAGTAAGCAAAATAGACCCAGTCCCTGCCCTCCAAGAGTTTACAGACCGATGGGGGAAAGAAGAGCTTTAAATAAGTGGATTATAAATATGTTGAACCTTAAGAAAAGGGAAGTAAAGTGTGCTTGGTTGGGACGGTGTGATAGGAAAGGCTCTATAAGGATATGTCATAACATATACATCGAGACTTAAAGGATGCTTAGGAGTTAGCCAGGTCAGAATGGCAGAGATGGAGGCATCAGAGGAGAGCAAGAGGGGGAGGAGTGCGCCAGGTCGACTCACTCCCAGTCTCATAGATTCCATTGCAATTCCTTTTTCTTCCATTATTTGTCTTAATTCTTCATCAGAGGGAATCGGTGGGAATGTCTAAGCAATAAAGGAAGGCAGAGACCAAAATTTTTTTTTAATCTGATGGCGAAAGGGGTTGCCATCCTTTCTACTTCTTTGTTTTTTCACTCTCTCTAGATGAGTGCCTGCCTTCATAGGCTGCACCAGGGAGTGTTGGTAACCGAGGAAGGAGGTGGATCAATGGCTGGGGTACCGAAGTATTGTTCCATTGTAGATCAGGATTTTGGTCTCAGTGTGGGACTTTGGGGAGGCAAGTATTGATTCTGACCTAAGGTGCTGATATGACCCCCTTCCCCTTCCAGGAAGTGGACGTTGTGGTAGCACCATGCCAAGGCCTCCGGCCCACAGTGGATGTTCTGGGTGACTTGGTGAATGATTTCTTGCCTGTGATAACCTATGCACTCCACAAAGATGAACTCTCTGAGAGGGATGAGCAAGAGCTTCAGGAAATCCGAAAGTATTTCTCCTTTCCTGTATTCTTTTTCAAAGTGCCGAAACTGGGCTCAGAGATAACAGACTCCTCAACCAGGAGAACGGAGAGTGAAAGATCACTGCTTTATCGCCAGCTAATTGACCTGGGCTATCTGAGCAGCAGTCACTGGAACTGCGGGACTCCTGGCCAGGATACTAAAGCTCAGAGCGTGTTGGTAGAACAGAGTGAAAAGCTGAGACACTTGAGCACATTTTCTCACCAGGTGTTACAGACTCGCCTGGTGGACGCAGCCAAGGCCCTGAACTTGGTGCATTGCCACTGCCTTGACATCTTTATTAACCAGGCATTTGACATGCAGCGGGACCTGCAGATCACTCCCAAACGTCTGGAATATACTCGAAAAAAGGAGAATGAGTTGTACGAATCATTGATGAATATTGCCAACCGAAAGCAGGAGGAAATGAAGGATATGATTGTTGAGACACTTAATACCATGAAGGAGGAACTTCTGGATGATGCTGCTAACATGGAGTTTAAAGGTAGGTCCCAGAGAGCTTGCTGGGGTGCTGGCATGCAAAGAGTCTCTAACCATTTTTTAGCCGGAAATTAAGAACATTAATTCTTCAGGTTGAAGGAATCTCAGGGTAACTTCATGCACCCCACTGTTACCAGCAGGAGCCCACTATTTAGCCAAGGTGGCCTCTCTTGCTCTCAGAGATCATCGTGGAAGATTCCACCCTCATTCCTTCCCAAGAACATTAGCTCAACTTTTGGTAAATTCATCCTAATAGCTCCCTCATCTCCACTTTCTGCCTGTACCCCCTCAACTCCTAATGGAGCTGGAGAAGAGCTGCTTGGAGAATGTTAGTAAATTATGCTTTAACCTTTGCTCCTGCAGTATAGCTCATGCCTCTTTATTGGTTCTTTTTGTCTCATGGTCTCATTTCCTTTCAGGCTGCTTCTGAAGCCCAAATCAGGAGGATTTCCCAAAGTTGCGATTTTAGCCTTTTGATAGTCCTATTCTTCACAAATGGCTACTAACAAAATTGGGTGAAAGTGATTGGTCAGGTCTTTGGGTGTCTGAGATGCTGCTGATTTTGTATACTGACTTCTGTATAAACCTCCTTGCAAGATTAAAATGATGGTTTACAGATTACCCTTTAGAGTCTCAGTTGTGGGTATCCTAATCCCTTGGGAGGCTTTCTGAAAATAAAAGATGCTCAAGACCACTAAAGATCACTGGCAGGACTTACTCAGGATTTCTGACATGGACCCAGCAATCAGTTTTTTTTGTTTTTTTTTTTTTTGAGACGCAGTCTCGCTCTGTCGCTCAGGCTGGAGGTGCAGCGGTGTGATTCTCGGTTCATGCAACCTCCACCTCCTGGTTTCAGCAATTTCCCCTGGCCTCAGCCTCCCAAGTAACTGGGAATACAGGCATGTACCACTATGCCTGGCTAAATTTTTTTGTTATTTTAGTTAGAGAACAGGGTTCTTTCATGTTGGCCAGGACGGTCTTGATCTCTTGACCTCGTAATCCGCCACTTTGGCCTCCAAAGGTTTGGGTGTCCGTGAGCCACCACGCCTGGGCTGTGGTATTAATCTTCTGCATATTCGATACCTCCTGGCTTTTTTATTCTGGGGTCTCTTAAGTCTAACTGGAACTGTTGTTTATCTAACTGATCTCCCTGACTTCTTTCTCCAGTTCACCTTTACTGGCTCCCTATTTCTACAGACTAAGTTTAACTCCTGCACCTAGTATTAAAGACCTCCCAAAGCCTAGCCCTTACCAACTTTTCCAGTCTTATTTCCTCACTGTGTACTTTCCTGTATTTTCCATGTCAATTGGTCTTAACTTCTTTCTGTCCTCCGTACGCTCCCTTTACTTTTTCTTTGATAACACCCTGCCTTAAACCTGGAATGTCTTTGATTTGTCTGTGAACTTCCAGATCCTACCTACCCATCAGGGCCTGTCTCCCAAATGCCATTTTTCATGAAGTCTTCTTTAATTTTCTCCTTCTTTTTTTTTTTTTAATTTTTTTATTTTTGGGACAGCTTCTTGCTCTGCCATCCAGACTGGAGTGCAGTAGTGCAGTCGTGGCTCACTGCAGCCTCAATCTCCTGGGCTTAAACAATCCTCCTGCCTCAGCCCCCTGCATACCTGGGACTACAGGCACATGCCACCACACCAGCTAATTTTTTATATTTTTTTAAAGACAGGGGTTTCACCATGTTGGCCAAGTTGGTCTTGAACTCCTGGGCTCAAGCAATCCTCCCACCTTAGCCTCCCAAAAGGTGCTGGGATTATAGGCATGAGCCACCACACCTAGCCCTGCTTTAATTTTCTCAGCTAATAACAATTGCAGTCATTTGAAATCCCATAGCATTCCATCTGTAACTTATTTCTGGCATATTTCACTTTCTATCTTTTATTATAGTTATTTATATACTGCTGACTACTTCCTAAAATCCTAGAGTTGAAGGAGGATAGGATCTGGGTCCTATTCATCATCATATACCTTGCAGCAAATAACACAGACTCTTTTATACAGTACATATTTGGAGAATCAATGAGTGTGTGAATGATGGTATCTAGTTTAAGTTACACTTATAAATACAAAGGAAGTATGGTTGACTTTAGCAAGCATAGGTTGCTTGGTTTCTTATAGTCATTCTAAAGATGAACGAAGATACCTCTTTGGTGAATTCCCCACTACAGAGAGGAGTTGTTGAGAAGTGTTACTTGCAGTGGAAATCTTAGGAAGTCTTCTTAATATTTGATTAAAGACAACAAAGCATCACTGCCAGCATCATGTTACACAGAATGAAGGGAGGTCAGGACAGCTAGGTTGGGCAGACAGTAAAGTATTCGATTGTTCTTACCTTGTTCTAAGTGCTTTCTGGGTATCCTTGAAACAATAAGAAGATTTAGAAGCAAGCTAGCACATATCCTATGGAGCCAGATTTTTTTTTTTTTTTTCCTGTAGAGACGAGGTCTTGCTATATTGCCCAGGCCTGTAGCGATCCTCCCACCTCAGCCCCCACAAAGTGCTAGGATTATAGGTATAAGCCATCATGCCCAGCGTGGAGCCAGATTACTATTACTGTTTGTTTTTAAATAAAGACAATGCATATGTGCTAGGTATCTTGATATTCACACTTTATAAAATTTATTTTGAAGATAAAACCCATATGTATGGTACTTAATTCAGAGTTATAAAGACACCATCCCCCAGCCACCCAGTTCTTCTCCATATGTTCTTCTGCACTTGTCTTTTTCATTTAGTATGTGTCTTAGAGGGCATTCTATAAATATTCATACAAATTTGTCTTCTTCTAATGGATATGCCTGAATTTATTGAACTATTCTTTCATTGATGGACATTTAAGCTGTTTGTTTTTGTTTTTTAATTTTTTTTTTTTTTTTTTTGATAGAAGGTCTTGTTCTGTCGCCCAGGCTGGAGTGCGGAGGCCTAATCTAGTCTCACTGCAACCTCCGCCTCCCGGATTCAAGGAATCCTCCCACCTCAGCCTCCCTAGTAGCTGGGTCTAAAGGTGTGCGCCACTACACTCGGCTAATTTTTGTATTTTTAGTAGAGACAGGGTTTCACCATGTTGGCCAGGCTTATTTGTTTATTTTTTATTTTTTATTTTCTCTTTCGCTAATACAAACTGTACTGCATTAATCATCATTGTACATTGTACATATACGTCTTGGGACTTGTAAGGGTGTATTTCAACAAAAAGAATTCCTAGAAGCAAAATAATTAGATCAAAGGATATGTAGATTTTTCTTGGTTGGTTGAACATTTTAATAGATGTTGCCAAATTTCCTCTGAAGAAGTGGCACCAATTTAAATTTCCACCGGTAGACATGAGAGTGCCTTCTTAGGAGCACATCTTTTTTGCAAGTAGTTTGACTTCTCTTAAACTCTTCTGTCTTCTGATTTACAATATTAATAGATGTTCTAATCCTAAGAGATAGTGTAGCATGGTGGGGACAATTGAGTTTTACTTTTTATTTATCTAGTAATTGATTAGAATAAAATTCCTGGCCAGGCGCAGTGGCACACGCCTGTAATCTCAGCACTTTGGGAGGCCAAGGTGAGCGGATCACCTGAGGTCAGGAGTTCAAGACCAGCCTGGCCAACATGGTGAAACCCCCATCTCTACTAAAAATACAAAACTTAGCCGGGTGTGGTGGTGGGCATCTGTAATCCCAGGTACTTGGGAGGCTAAGGCACAAGAATCACTTGAACCCAGGAGGTGGAGATTGCAGTGAGCCAAGATCGTGCCACTGCACTCCAGCCTGGGCGATAAAGCTAAACTCAGTCTCAAAACAACAAAACAAAACATAGAATAAAATTCCCGACTCTTGGATTTTTCTCATTAATATGCTAGGGAGTGTGAAATTTTGCAAAGATCATAGGATTTGGAATGAGCACTGGGTTCAAATGCTGACTGTATTACTTCCTAACTAACTGTACTGTCCCCTTCCCATGTCTACTTTGTTCTCTCTTTGAGGCTGTTTCTTGATCTATAATAACCATCTAACAAAGTTATTGTGAAGATGGAATTAGATTACATGTGTAAAATCCTTATTTTAGTGCCTTTCAAATAGTTTGCACTTATAAATGTTGTTCCTCCCTTCCTATAAATGTGACGTAAAAGCTAACAAAATCCACAGTCTCATTCTAGACTTAATTGCTTCTTTTTTTTTTTTTTTTTTTGAGACAAGGTCTCACTCCCATCACCCAGGCTGGAGTGCAGTGGCACAATCACAGCTTATTGTAGCCTCTATCTCCTAGGTTCAAGCTATCCTCCCGCCTGCCTCATCTTTTTACTTTTTGTAGAGATGAGGTCTCACTGTGTTACCCAAGCTCATCTTGAACTCCTGGGCTCAAGCAATCCTCCTGCCTCGGCCTCCCAAAGTGCTGGAATTATAGGCATGAGTCACTGCACCTGGCCTTAATTGCTTCTTCTCAGGATCTTAGCTGGCTTAAGTAGTTGAGGGTTATGTGACCCCTGATCATTGTGAGAGTCAGACTTCATCAACGAATCGTGTCTTTTTGCAGCCATCATCATCACGGTAGTTCCATGATTCCAATTTGGGAGATGAGTTTATTTGGTGTGTCTGCCCCTTCTTCCTCACAACTCATTAGCTTATTTCTCTGCCTCCATAGATGTCATTGTCCCTGAGAATGGAGAACCAGTGGGCACCAGAGAGATCAAATGCTGCATCCGACAGATCCAGGAACTCATCATCTCCCGACTAAATCAGGCAGTGGCTAATAAGCTGATCAGCTCAGTGGATTACCTGAGGGAGAGCTTCGTCGGAACCCTGGAACGATGTCTGCAGAGCCTGGAGAAGTCTCAGGATGTCTCAGTTCACATCACCAGTAATTATCTCAAACAGGTAGAAAAAGAATGATTTTTTTAAGACATCGTGTCATAGATAGCACATGAAACAATCTGTACAAACCCACGCTTCAAGTTAGGCAAGAATTTCCCTTTCAGCTTCTTGAGAATCTTGTTTGAATTTTATTTTGTTTTCCTGTCACATGACCACTGCCTGTAGGAGATGTTGGTGAGCTGTAAAATTGCAGTTAAGTTGACGAATATAGGCCAGGCACAGTGACTCATGCCTATGATTCCAGCACTCTGGGAGGCTGAGGCGGGTGGATCACCTGAGGTTGGGAGTTCGAGACCAACCTGACCAACATGGAGAAACCCCATCTCTACTAAAAAAAACAAAATTAGCCCAGCATGGCGGTGCATGCCTGTAATCCCAGCTACTTGGGAGGCTGAGGCAGGAGGATTGCTTGAACCTGGGAGGCGGAGGTTTCGCTGAGCAAGATCGCACCATTGCACTCCAGCCTGGGTGACAAGAGTGAAACTCTGTCTTTAAAAAAAAAAAAAAAGTTGATGAATATAAAGATGAGGTAGAAGGGGCTAGATAGTTAGTCACAAAATAATCAGCTTAAGTTGACTCTGCATATATATTGAGGGATAAATTTGGAAACCCTGAGTCTGGACTGTATTCTTGAAATAAATATCATTTATTGCATTTTTGAAATAGCCACAGTACTGAAGGCATGTTTTCTTTGATGGTGTCTCTTTCAGATCTTAAATGCTGCCTATCATGTTGAAGTCACGTTTCACTCAGGGTCGTCAGTTACAAGGATGCTGTGGGAGCAAATCAAGCAGGTAGGGATTATTACTTAGAGCAAGATTTCTAAGCCCCTAGTTGGCTCAAATGAATCCTAGTGATCCCAATAGGAAACAGATATCTAGGATCTTCTGTTAAGGCAGGATGGCCATTTGCTCTGGTTTGTCTGCCTGGGAGAATTCTGGTTTATGCCTATTCTCAAATAATTATTAACATTGTTACCTTGAACTCTCAGAAGTTTTGGGTTTAAATGATTTTTATGTTGGGTGTTCTTTGTGAACAATGGAAAAATAGGAAAAAAAGATAAATGATATTTCATGGAGCCGCAAGACTCTACCACACTAGCTTCTTCATATTTCTTTTTCCCAGCCTAAATCTTTTCTCAGAACTAGGCTTTGTTGTTGCCGGAGGCTGTGAATGTGGTTTCTGTTCTGGAATTTGATCTGGCTCTTATGTAGAGTTATTTACTGACTTCAGAAAGATTATCAGGCACTCCCTGGCACTGAATGTAATATATTGAGGGTTTGTGAGCATGTAAACTAGGCCTGGTGTTCTTTGATGCTTTCTTTGGGCTAGGACCTGATTTTGAGGTAGATGGAATTGGAAAGGCACTTTAGACTTCATATGGCTCCCATCTTATGAGCCTGCTCCTATTGAATGGGTAACCCAGAAAAGGAAGGACACTGGATCTTTGTAGTGGTTCTTGTCTCTCATTCTTCGGTGATCTCGCTGTCCTCATCCTGGTAGATCATCCAGCGCATCACATGGGTGAGCCCACCTGCCATCACTCTGGAATGGAAGAGGAAGGTGGCCCAGGAAGCCATTGAGAGCCTCAGCGCCTCCAAATTGGCCAAGAGCATTTGCAGCCAATTCCGGACTCGGCTCAATAGTTCCCACGAGGCTTTTGCAGCCTCTTTGCGGCAGGTTGGTATGTAGGAAAGGAGATATAACGGATCAAGCAGAGAAGAGCCTCATCCAGATGGGAATATTTTGCTCTCTGTTCTTCGTGTGTGTGTGTGTGTGTGTGTGTGTGTGTGTGTATAAATCATCAGTATTTTTTCTTTTTAGCCTATTACGTTATAGGAAGTTTTTTCAATAAATTTTTCATGTGGATATTTTCCTAACTCTAGGGAGAATGGAGTGAGCTCAGTTAATTTCTCCCCATTTCACTGAGTGAGGCAAGAAAATACGAGTAGGAATTTTATATGTTTATATAGTATTTTAGCTAAGAACAAATGACAGAAGGTGATGACTTTCCAACTTCTATGTTATTTCATAAATGTTTGACATCTGATTGTCTGCTGGCGGGGGAGTGGGTGTGTCCAGGCAGAGAGTGGATAGATGTGAGTATGCATCCAGGAGGAAAAGTTATTATTTATTGAGTCCACTCTGTGCCAGTCTCTGTGCTAAATATGTTACATGTATCTTGTTTAATTCTCACAATTATCTATATGAGGTAGATATCATTATCCCTGTATAACAGGTGAGGAAGTTGAAGCTAGGGACTTAAGTCATATGTACTTTTTCTGTTTCCCTCCCAGCTAGAAGCTGGCCACTCAGGCCGGTTAGAGAAAACTGAAGATCTATGGCTGAAGGTTCGGAAAGATCATGCCCCCCGCCTGGCCCGCCTTTCTCTGGAAAGCCGTTCTCTACAGGACGTCTTGCTTCATCGTGAGTCTGGTTTTCAAATAAACTGGAGGATGGTTCAGGATACCTGACATTCTTATGTCCAACGTCAGAGAATCCCAGTGTCTAAAGCTGCTTCTTTGCAAAACTGCCTAAACTCTTACTGATGGTTTTGAATTCCTAAAGTCTCATCCTGCTATTTATATAGTTCAAATAACATGACCAGGCCAGGTGTGGTGGCTCACACCTGTAATCTTAGCATTTTGGGAGACTGAGATTGGTGGATTGCCTGAGCTCAGAAGTTCAAGACCAGCCTGGGCAATATGGCAAGACCCCGCGTCTACTAAAAATACAAAAATTAGCTGGGCGTGGTGGCACTTGCCTGTAACCCCAGCTACTCGGGAGGCTGAGGCAGAAGAATCACTTGAACCCAGGAGGTACAGGTTGTAATGAGCCAAGATCATACCACTGCACTGCAGCCTGGGTGACAGAGCAAGACTCTGTCTCCAAAAAAAAAAAAAAAAAGAAACCACTACATAACCAAAGTTTATTTGAATTAAACCAGTTAGATTACTTTCTACTGGGTTAGAATGACACCAGAATTTTATCCCTGGGCATGATTACAGCTTCCTGACCCTAAGGGCAGGTTCATAGTGAAGAATGTTACAGGGCCGGCATGGTGGCTTGTGGTGTAATCCCAGTACTTTGGGAAGCCACACTGGGTGGATCGCTTGAGCCCAGGAGTTTGGGACCACCCTGGACAACATGGCAAAACCATGTCTCTACCAAAACTACAAAAATTAGCCATGCATGGTGGCGCATGCCTGTAATCCCAACTACTTGGGAGCCTGAGGCAGAATAATCGCTTGAACCCAGGAGGCAGAGGTTGCAGTGAGCAGAGATCGTGCCACTGCACTCCTGCTGGGTGACAGAACAAGACTCTGTCTCAAAAAAAAAAGAATCTTACAGAGGTTGCCCACCAAGTTCCCATCCCTCCTGCCTTATCTCTGTCTCTGTACCTTATAGGTAAACCTAAACTGGGACAGGAACTGGGCCGGGGCCAGTATGGTGTGGTGTACCTGTGTGACAACTGGGGAGGACACTTCCCTTGTGCCCTCAAATCAGTTGTCCCTCCAGATGAGAAGCACTGGAATGATCTGGCTTTGGAATTTCACTACATGAGGTGGGTCCTGGTCTCATTCATCTCTACGAGAAAGATCCAGAGGAGAATCTAGAAGCCTGGTTTAGATTTTGTACCAAGAGCTACAGCATGGCCTCTCTGTATTTAGGTTTCTGTGTCTAACAGACATGTGCTCCCTTTCAGGCCTTTACTGTCTTTGCTTGCTCTTTCCCCACCATCCTAATTTCTCAGACTCATCATTCCATTTAACTTTTCTTCTTTAGTCCTTAAGCCTTATCGGTTTTTAGAATCCAGGATTCTTCATCCTTGTTGAAGAGGCCATGCTCTGTCTGCACTAAGGGCTCTGTCTACACTGAGGGCTCCATCTGCACTGAGGGCCATTACCTCTGGACCTGTCCTAAGCATGGTCTGGAAATTCTTGTCTCCTACATTCTGGCATGGCATGCAGGATTAGAGCCCAAGTCTTGTAGCCCAGACCTCTCTTCTTCCCACCAGGTCTCTGCCAAAGCATGAGCGATTGGTGGATCTCCATGGTTCAGTCATTGACTACAACTATGGTGGTGGCTCCAGCATTGCTGTGCTCCTCATTATGGAGCGGCTACACCGTGATCTCTACACAGGGCTGAAGGTAAGGAGAGAGCAAGATCCAGCTGGCAGCCAAATCCACAGGTTCCTTTCTGGCCTCTCATCCTCTCCTGTTTATTCAGAGCTTTTAGCTTTCATCAGAGACTGTTGGAGTAATTAGGCTTTATTTCACTTATTTCCAAAAACCCTTAAAGATTTCTCAGCTGGGCATGGTGGCTCACGCCTGTAATCCCAGCACTTGGGGAGGCAAGGTGGGAGGATCACTTGAGTCCAGGAGTTTGAGACCAGTCTGGGCAATAGAGGGAGACCTCATCTCTATAAAAAATTTAAAAGTTAGCTGAGTGTGGTGGCTCATACCTGTAGTCCCAGCTACTCGAGGGGGCTGAGGTAGGAGGATCCCTTGCACTTAGGAGGTCAAGACTGCAATGAGCTATGATCATGCCACTGCACCCTAGCCTGGGTGACAGAGCAAGACCCTGTCTCTAAAAATAAAAATAAATTTAAAGATTTCTCAGAACCTATTTTCACCCCATTATATACCCAGAATATTGCCATTCACCACTCAGACCCCTGTGGTGGTAGTAAAAATCTAAACTCCTTAGAAGAGCAGTACAGCTTCCTGTAACTCTGCTCTTCTTTCTCACTTTTGCTGTAAGAGGATAAAGCTAGTTTTTGTTGTTTAGTCAATGGATATTTATTAGTGACTGCTTTGTACAAGGTCCAGCATTAAGCATCATTAGAGGATATCAGAAGGTATAATTGATAGGCGCTATTAAGAGAATTGTAGTCAGTGACCATTTCAGGAAGACGTGGAGTTTGAGTTTGACAAATATACCATGATGGGTAGAATTTGGGCAGTTGGAAGGAAGAGGCCATAGCAGGGGGAAGGAACAGCTTAATGCCTAGAGCATTCGAAGGCTAGTAAGGACACTGGGCACATTGGAGCAGCTGTTTCGTTTTGGGAATCAGGAGACATAATGTGCAAAGAGATGTTGGGAACAAATTACATAAGACCCAAAATGTTAAGAATTTCCATAGAATTCAAATTCTGTTACAGACTATGAGAAGCTACTGAAGGATTTTATTTGAGTGAAGGTGAAACCCTCAGTTGGATGTTGAGTTGCCCTTATCTAAACCACCAAGAGGGAATTAGAGAGGTTTCTTTTGTCTGTTCCCTACATAGGAGCTGAGTAGAAGGAGAGAAAAGCTGACCTCAGAGTCTCTGAGTAGATCCCTTCTCACAGATTCCTCTTGGACCAATTTATATGGAGGCTTCCAGAAGTAGGGCAGAGGAAACCTTAGAAATGCTTCCCGGAGTCTTGAGGAATCAATATGATGAAGAAAATGACTCTCCAAGCAGCTTTCCCTCCTCATTTCAGAGGAGTTAAGCATTGTCTGATGCATCTCCACAAGTGAACTAGAGAATGTCCTTTGAACTTTTGAATGAGTGATGTGACATTTTCCTGTATTCAGGAGACCCTGAATTGAAGTAATATGAGTGACTTTGGTATTTGAATCCATAAAACCAAAGCTGGGCTAACCAGGCCTGTAAAGGAATGGAAGTAAATCTTCCTAAGGGACCTAGAAATAGTCACTTTGAGCCTCAAGGGCAGTTCCAGAATTTGTTTAAATGTTAGAAATGAGCTCATGCCTTAGTTGTTTGGTTCTATCTGCTAGTCACATTTGAGGTTATCCATTTGGCTTAATTGCAGCCTGCAAAGGATTTTATCTGGCTTTGTCTCCTTTACAGCTTGCTCTTCTTTGCTTTTCTTCTACCTCCCTCTCCTAACTGCTTTTTGCTCCCCCCACCTTTTTTTTTTTTTTTTGAGACAGAGTCTTGCTCTGTCACCCAGGCTGGAGTGCAGTGGCACCATCTCAGCTCACTGCAACCTCTGCCTCCTGGGTTCAAGTGATTCTCCTGCCTCAGCCTCCCAAGTAGCTGGGATTACAGGCACCTGCCACCACATCCAGCTAATTCTTTTTTGTGTTTTTAGTAGAGACAGGATTTCACCATGTTTGCCAGGCTGGTCTCGAAATTCCTGACCTTGGCCTTCGTAAGTGCTGGGGTTATAGGTATGAGCCACTGTGCCCGGCTCTTCCCCCTTTTAAAAATGCACTTTTCTGTCCTCATGTGCCCAAGCATAGTCAGTTGAATCGAGGAGTTGCCTTATCATGACAAGCAAGCTCTTTTGTCTCCCCAAGGCTGGGCTGACCCTGGAGACACGTTTGCAGATAGCACTAGACGTGGTGGAAGGAATCCGCTTCCTGCACAGCCAGGGACTTGTCCATCGTGATATCAAACTGAAAAATGTGCTGGTAAGTAAGAGCTGTTTCCCCAAGATTATACTCTACCTCTGTGGCTGAGTGATTTTGGAGGGTACACGTAAATGTAAGTTAGATCCCAAGAAAAGTCCTCACAGAAAGTGTGTTAGTCCATTCTCACACAGCTAGTAAAGACATACCCAAGACTGGGTAATTTATAAAGGAAAGAGGTTTAATTGACTCACAGTTCCACAGGGCTGGAGAAGCCTCAGGGAATTTACAGTTATGGCAGAAGGGGAACTAAACACATTCTTCTTCACATGGCAGCAACACGAAGAAGTAGTGAACAAAGGAGGGTAAAGCCCCTTACAGAACCATCAGATCTTGTTAGAACTCACTATCATGAGAAAAGCATGAGGGTGACTGCCCCTGTGATTAAATTACTTCTCACTGGGTCCCTCCCACAACACATGGGGATTATGGGAACTACAATTCAGGATGAGATTTGGGTGGGGACACAGCCAAACCATATCATTCTGCCCCTGGTCCCTCCCAGATCTCATGTCCTCACATTTCAAAACACAATCATGCCTTCTCAACAGTTGTCCAAAGTCTTAACTCATTCTAGTATTAACCCAAAAGTCCAAGTCCAAAGTTTTATCTGAGACAAGGCAAGTCCCTTCCACCCATGAGCCTATAAAATCAAAAGCAAGTTAGTTACTTTCTACATACTATGAGGGTACAGGCATTGGATAAATACACCCATTCCAAATGGGAGAAATTGGCCAAAACAAAGGTGCTACAGGCCCATGCAAGTCTGAAATCCAGTAGGGTAGTCATTAAATCCTGAAATTCCAAAATGATCTTCTTTGACTCCATGTCTCACATTCAGGGCATGCTGATGCAAGAGGTGGTCTCCTATGGCATTGGGCATCTTCACACCTGTGGCTTTGCAGGGTACAGCCCACTTCCTGGCTGCTTTCATGGACTGGCGTTGAGTGTCTGTGGCTTTTCTAGGCACACGATGCAAGTTGTGTGTGGATCTACCATTCTGGGTTGTGGAAGACAGTGGCCTTCTTCTCACAGTTCCACTAGGCAGTGTCCCAGTACGGACTTTCTGTGGGGGTTCCAACCCCACATATCCCTTCTGCACAGCCCTAACAGAGGTTCTCCATCAGAGCCGCACCCCTGCAGCAAACTTCAGCTTGGACATCCAGGAGTTTTCATACATCCTCTGAAATCCAGGTGGAGATTCCCAAACCTCAACTCTTGATTTCTGTGCACCTACAGGCCCAACACCACATGTAAGCTGCCAAGATTTGGGGCTTGCACCCTCTGAAGCAATGGCCTGAGCTATGTGTTGGCCCCTTCTAGCCACAACTGGAACTGAAGCAGCTGGGATGCAGGGCACCATGCCCCAAGGCTGCATAGAGCAGGGGGCCCTGGGTCCAGCTCACAGAACCATTTTTCCCTCCTAGACCTCCAGGAGTCATAGGAGGGCCTGCTGTGAAGGTCTCTGACATGCCCTGGAGAAATTTTCCCCATTGTCTTGCTGGTTAACATTTGGCTCCTCATTACTTATGAAAATGTCTGCAGCGGGCTTGAATTTCTCCCCGGAAAATAGGTTTTCTTTTCTTTCTTTCTTTTTTCTGAGATGGAGTCTTGCTCTGTTGCCCAGGCTAGAGTGCAATGGCGCTATCTCAACTCACTGTAACCTCCACCTCCCAGGTTCAAGCAATTCTCCTGCCTCAGCCTCCCAAGTAGCTGGAATTACAGGCACTTGCCATCACGCTGGGCTAATTTTTGTATTTTTAGTAGAGACAGGATTTTGCCATATTGGTCAGGCTGGTCTCCAACTCCTGACCTCAAGTGATCCGTCCACCTTGGCCTCCCAAAGTGCTGGGCGGGGATTATAGTGTAGCCCACATGCCGCAGCCAGAAAAATAGGTTTTCTTTTTATGACATGTCGACCTGCAAAGTTTTCAAACCTTTATGCTCTGCCCTACCTCCCTGTCAACACTTTGCGGCTTAGAAATTTCTTCCTGGGTGGGCAATGCTCACACTTGTAAATCCAGCAAACTTTGGAGAACCGAGGTGGTGGATCACCTGAGTCCAGGCAGTTTGAAGCCACCCTGGCCCAACATGGTAAAACCGCATCCTACTAAAAAATAAAAAATTAGCCGGGTGTGGGCACACAACCTGTAGTTCCCAGCTACTTGGAAGACTGAGGCCAAAGGGGGGGGAGAATTGCTTGGAACCTGGGAGGGTGAGGTGCAGTGAGCTGACATTGCCACCACTACCCACACCAGCCTGTGAGACAGAGCAAGACTACTGTCCTTAAATATAATAAATAAAATAAATAAATCTTCCACCAGAATACCCTAAAGTCCATCCTCTTCTGAACGTTCAAGTTCCCACAGATCTCTAGGGCAGGGTAAATGCCCTCCAGTCTCTCGTGCAATAGCAATAGGTGACACTTTATTCCAGTCCCAACAAGTTCTCATTTTCCATCTGAGACCACCTTACCCTGGAAACGTCATTTCCCATAACACTAAATCAGGCATTTTTGGTCAACAGCCATTCAACAAGTCTTAAAGGAATTCCAACTTTCCACATTTTCCTGTCTTCTTCTGTAAGCCCTCCAAACTGTCAGCCTCTGCCTGTTACAGTCCAAAGCACTTCCACAATTTCATCGTATCCTTACTCGACGCCAAGCAGCCACTCCTTGGTACAATTACTGTGGTTTAGTCCATTCTCGAATGCTCTAATAAA